GGGCAGACGCCCAACAGCCGAGGGAGGGGGCTCCCGGGTGGGAAGGTGGCGGCGCCGCAGGCGAGAGGCGGGGAGAAGAGGCAACGCGGATTCGGCGGAAGAGAAGCTGCTGGTGACGCCAGCCGATGGGCAGAGGCAGCGGGCAGGGCGCGCTGCGTAGACACGGGGTGTGGAGACGGTGCCGGCGGAGGCCCGTGGCTACTGGGGTGCAGCCCGCAGGGCCAGGGCACCCCTGCGCGGGGCACCGCTGTGACCACGGGGAGGGTAGGGGGCCCGGAGCATCGCGGCGGGAGGTACGGGAGGGTCCCTGGCGGGGGACCCGGCCGTGACGCGGTGTTTAACTGAGCCCTCAGAGGGCGGCGGGCTGAGCCTGTGCGTCCGCCTGGCGGGACACACGCGGCGGCGGGAGGCGCGACCCCAGCTTCCCAGGCCCCGCCCCTCCCCCCCCCCCGGGTTCCACGCGGGGCTCCGGAAGTAGGCAGGGCGCATGCGTGTGAGCCGGCGCGGCCCCCGACCGCGGGGGCGCGACCCCCTCCGCTCTCCGTCCATCTGCTGCAGGCCTCAGGGTCCTGGGTCGCCCCGTCCTTCCCGTCAGGAGAAGCCCGGGGACCTGGTGCTCCCCTCTGGCAGGCACGTTTGGGGGGCGGGGGACGCTCAGGGTATTTTTGTGATTTTTAAACCCCCCCCTCTTTCTGTATACGTCGTGGTAAGCAAGTGAGGAAATACGGCTCTAATGGCTTAACAAAGGAAGGAGAAAGAAAGACCCTAACCCCTGGGTGGAAGTCTCCTTCCATGTGGAAGGGGAGACCAGGACTGTTAGCGGAAGTTTGCCTGGGCGCCTGGGGGCTCAGGCGGTGAAGCGTCCGACTTGGGCTCAGGTCATGATCTCGCGGTTCGTGGGTTCGAGTGGAGACTGGCTTGATGTCTAATGAAAGCAATTTGACTTCATTTATAAAAAAAGTTTTAAATTCATACATCCTGTGACTCGGAAGTTCCATTAAAAAATTATTTATTTATTTTGGGAAGGGAGAGTGGCAGTGAGGGGGGTAGCGAGAATCCCGAGCAGGCTCCGTGCTGCCAGTGCAGAGCCCAATGAGGGGCTCGAACTCACAGACTGAGATCATGACCTGAGCGGAAACCAAAAGTTGGACACTCAATGGACTGAGCCACCTAGGAGCCTCAGAAGTTCCATTTTAAATAATTTATCCTATATGTATATACTTTATATACACCTTCATGCTATCATGTATGTATGTATATATATATATATATACCCATAGACACTCATATAGAGATATTTATTGCAACACTATTTGTAACAGCAGAACATAGGAACAAATCAAATGTCTATCATCGGTACAGATAGCACATTCATAAAATGAAGCACAATATAAATGTTTAAACAATGAGACAGATATAATGTACTGACATATGAAGAGAACTTCGTGATATGTATTATTAACAGAAAAAAGCCAAGAGCAGAACGATGCGTGTGTAGTCTATCTAACCATGCACATTCATATATGTATATGTACGTATACAAGTCTACATGTATGTTTGTATATGTGTAGAGCATGTATTGAAGGCCACCCCCGATGTGGTGAGAGTAATTCCCTTTGGTGAGGGGAATGGGAGGCTGGGAGTTTAGGGTGTGAGGCAGACAGACCTTCACTCTGGTTCCCTTTTACTGCTTCAATTCAACCCTGATCCTACGCATGCGTTATTTAGACACACGCGTTCACACCAATGAGGCTCTCGGGAAACGGGCACTCAGGCTCTGCCGGCGGGAACACCAAGCGGGGCCCTGTGGAGGGCAGCTGTGCAGCCTGTGAAATTGCGAAAGCATTACCCTCTCTGGGAGTGTATTCTGCAGGTCACCTGTGCCCAACCAAAATGACATATGCAAATGGAGGATTGGGAATAAGCAAGGTCCACTATGGCGCTGGTTAAACGTTCACAGTGCGCCTGCACAATGGCCTCCCCTGAGCTCTTAGAGAATGAGGGGCTCTCTATTAACTGCTACGGAAAGCTCTCCAGGAGCCATATTGAGTGAAAAATGCAAGGGGCAGAACAATGCCTGGAATATGCTGCCTTTTGTGGAAAAAGAGGGGGAAATAGAGACACACGCATACACACATATACACACATATGAAACGTATCAACGATGTCTTGAATTTGCATAAAGAATCAACAGAAGGATACACAAGGCACTAAATTGGTTTTCTTGGCCAAGAGTAAATATTCAAAATACTTAACAATTACAGCAGAGACACCAACCCATCTGTAGGCACTGGTCCCAAATAACCGGTACCAGTAAAATCAGCCTTGCCGGGTGGGGAGGGTGTGGGGGGGGGGCGTGAGGAGTAGAAGGATTGAGATCGACAGGAGGGACATGTTTTAATTTGAGGACCATGGGATTATATGATCTATTTCAAAAAAAATTTTTTAAGTCTTCATATTCCCCCAAAAGAACCCAAACAGGAAAAAAAAAACCACCCTAAAACAATTTAAAATAAAATCTGGTCTCAGGGAGAGCTTTGTGCTAATTGAAAGCAATGATGGTCTCAAATGGCACAATTTAGGTAATCTGAGACTGGCTAGCAGAAGCATATTTTAGAAAAGGTCACTTTTTCACAATAAAGGACCCCTCCCCGGGTCCAACATTCCCTGCCTTCCCCCCCCCCCCCCCCCCCCCCCCGG